TTGCCTTTTTTAAATGTTTAAGCACGTATTTATAATAAAAACAAAAAAATGAAAAAAACTGTCAAAACTCGCGGTTACAATAAAAAATTAATAAACAAATTTTTGATTAATTATTATTGAATTAAGTCAAAAATAATGCACATTTTCCACTTTTTTTGATTATTTTGTCAAAAAAACAGCACAACAATTAAAAATAGTTTAAAATGGCAATTTGCTTTCAGTTTTGATAAATTTCTGTGACAAGTCAAAAATTCGACGAAATTGGCCAAAAATAGTCAAAAATGCTTTTAAGCACGATTTTGGATCAAAATTTCAGGTTTTCGTAAAATTTTGCTAAAATAAACCAAAGAATTATATTATTTTTGCATTTCTCGAGGGTTCTAACATGTTATAAAAACAAACAAAAATTCAACAAAGTGAATAAAAAAGTGTTTTAACCGAAAATTTCGAAAAATTCACTTTAAAATGGCTGAAAAAGTACAAAATCAAATCTAAATTGATATAATTTTTTAGCTTGTTTCGCTGAAACGGAGATAATAATTACAAAAACGATTAAAATTGCTGTTATTTTGTTTGTTGACTCAATTTACCCAAAATTTAAAAAATGAAGCAACAAAAGAAAAAAAATTGTCAAGAATGCTTTAAGCACGCTTTTGAACTAAAATTTTAGTTTTTTCGCAAAAATCAACAAATTGCGACAAAAATTCTCCTATTTTTGCATTTCTCGAGCGTTTCACCACGTTTTTCAGCTAGAGACGCAATTATTTGGCAAAATTTCATTAAATACAACTTAAAAAATCACTGAATTCAGACGAAAATAATGTTATTTTTGTCTTTTTTACGAGTTAAAACATATTTCATGGCTGAAAACTTAATTTTGTGATAGCGGGTCAAAAATTTCTAAATGAAAAAAAATAGAAAACCACGCTAAATTGGTTTACATTTTTCAGTTAGAAACTCAATTATTTTGTGAAAAACGAGCAAAAAATTTAACAAAGCAAACTTTTTTTGAGTTTTTAAACACGTTTATGAAACAAACAAAAAATTTCAAAAAAATTCCCTATAAACAAGCTAAAAAATTACAAAATTAAATCAAAATTAATATTATTTTTTTTTTTGTTAAAAAAATTATGTCCAAACATGCGTAGAAATAACAAAAATAAATTGTATTAGATTTTGTTTTTTTTTGTTTCACTTAACTTAACTAATTTTTGAGAAAAATTAAAACAAAAATATACCGAGAAGCTACAAAATTTGGTCGAAAATTCTATTAAGGAAGTTTTTATACCAAAAACTCAGGTTTTTCGAAAAATTTTGCTAAAAGATCAACAAATTAAGTCAAAAAATATAGATTTTACTTAATGATTTTTTTTACTTTATATTATTTTATTTCAGTAAAATTTAATTGACTACTTTTACGATTTTTACTTACTAAAACTTTTTTTACTTAATATTAGTTTATTTCATTAATTATACTTTTCTTTTTTTAGTTTAGTTTTGTTTCCAAATTTTTAGTAAAAACTCTATCAAAATTCAAAATTTTATTGTCTAAAAGCAACAATTTTTAACATTTTACAACTTCAGGATAATCACACATCAATTTCTCCTCATCAAAGGCCAATCCAGCATTACATTTCTGTTCCAAGGGCACAAAACCCCCATTGTAGGGCAAACAATAGTAAAAAATGGAACAATCAACCGGATCTCGAACATAACCAACTTTGGTACAAAGATTACTCAAATCGCGAGAAGGGGGCGCTGGTTTTTGAGTAACCTCCTCAACAGGTTGAGGGGCAGGTTCCACAATCTCATTGCTACCACCCTAGAAAAAAAAATAAGAAAAAAAAGCACCAAAAACAAAAAAATGGTACCAACCTCAAGTGCTTGATTTATGGCCTTGAGAATGGGGTATTTGGTACCACTGACCCCTCTAACGTCATCTGTTTCAATCGACCAAATCATGACACCTCCGAGATTCAACGATTTGGCATACTCGACCTTGAAACTTAATTTAATTTAATTTAATTTAATTAACGTGAAATTACCTTAAGTGAGATTGCTTTTGGACTGTCAAAACCCACCCATTGGTCCCCTTTAAACATATGGGTGTTTTTCTGGGTGTCATCCCATACAACACTCCATCCACCCTCTTTTTGCAACTCGACAATCTTAAATTAAAAAAATTAATAAAAAACGAAAAAAAAATTGACCCCACCTCATTATACCCCAACATAAAAAATTATGTCAAAACACGCCTAAAAATAACAAAAATAAATTGTATTTATTTATATAAATGAAAAAATTAGAAAACCACGCTATATTAAAAATAACTATTAATAAATTAGAAAACCATAAATTGGTTTTTGCGTACATTTTTCAATTAGAAACTCAATTATTTCGTAAATTTTGTGAAAAACGAGCAAAAAATTTAATAAAGCAAACTTTTTGTGAGTTTTCAAACACGTTTATGAAACAAACCAAAAATTTCAAAAATTCCCTATAAACAAGCTAAAAAATTACAAAATTAAATCAAAATTAAT